CTAGGCTTGGACATTCCTCACTCAAGTGCTCCTGCTTCCTTTGGAACCATCTAAGGCTTAGATAATTATTTTCCCTCTGCTCAGCATGCCAAGCAAGGTCCTTTTGCTGCAGCTTCTAGCAGAACAAAAAATAATTAGCAGCTACAACACATAGCTCTGACCTTGGCTTGAAAATAACTTTGCTGTCAAAAAAATATGTCCCATTTCTTATTGCTCAGGCAGTAGTTTATCGCATAGTTGCAGACAGAAGACACCTGCACATTCCTGAGGTGGTTTTCCTCAATTATTGTTTTCTTTGCGAGCATAAAATGCCACCTGAATGCCTCAAAATAAGACCTTTTGTAATATGACCTCACCAACAGCTATTACAGCATTATTTTTCATGTATTCTGTTATCAGCCAGATGAAAATTCAAGCAGAACACAGGACTGTTTGAATCTAAGCTTTGTAGGTTAGCATCCGGCAGCTTTCACCAAGCTTGTTACTTCTGGCCATTATTTTCCTTTGGAAGAACTAGAGACAGAACAATGGTAGGGGAGAGTTGAAAGTGCAGTCTACACAGGACCTAGAGACAGGCTTACAATTTCAGCATCTCAGCATATCACCGGAATCCCTCTCTTCTGACCGAGCACCGTTACTACCAAACAGGCAGAATCATGTGTCACTGACACGCTGCTGCAAAGTACTAGATGTTTTACTTCAACCACCTCCATGGACAGACAGATGTTTCAGGCTCAAGATCAAGTCAGAAGATCGAGTAGCTTCTCAAATCGTTCCAAGCATCATCTGCTTTTGTGAATTTCCTTCTCCTGTATCAATGGTTTTGATTAGGAATTGTTTTCTTCTACTAACAGATTTTGCTTTCTTTTCACATTTTAACTTCTTGAAAATTCAGCTCCCCAGTAACTTTGTCTGATATCATCCAACACGTTCAGAAACATCTCTTGGTGCCAGCAACCTAACTACCAGTACTTTCTAGCTTTCAGTGTGTCGTGGTTTAACTCTGGCTAGCAAAATCCCCCGAAGCCGCTCTCACAAATCCCCCTCCCCTCCTCTAGCGGAGGGGACGAATTGGAGGAAAAAAGAAGTAAGGAAGCTTGTAAAATTGAGATAAGAACTATTTACTAATTAAATCTAAATTAATATATACAAGTGCTACTAATAATAAATAATTAAAACAATAGAAAATAACACATATGATACAATATGATACAATTCTCCACTGACTAATGCACAACAGGTGATGAGTAGTGGGAGTCAGACCCAGAGAGCCCGAGAGCCGCAGCCCGAGAGCGATCGCAGGCCGAGGGCCGGAGCCCGAGCGCTGCCGCGGCAGATTCCGAACGAACCCTATCAGCGATAGCAGCCCGGGAAAGCTAAACAAACCCACCAACTCCCTCATGAACCAGCCAGCACAGGAGTTAGCGAAGCAGTTAACGCAGGAGTCAGAAGAGTGTTAGCGAGTGTATGGGAGTGAACGAGAGAGGGTAAGGGAGAGAGAGAGTGATAGCTACCGGATGCCCTTTTTGCCTAAGCCCCAAGCATGACGTACTATGGCATGAAACACTCCCTTGGTCAGTTCGGGTCAGGTGTCTGAACTGTGTGTCCCAGCACTGCCTGTAGCGAGACCGCGAGAGCTGGGAACGCAGCTGCAGGATCAGGAGCAGAGAAAGACCTTGAATCTGGTGCAGGCATTCCCCAGCACCAGCTAAGAACTGATCAGTGCTGCTCCCTGCATCCAGGAACAGCTTCCTAGCAGCCATGGCAAAGAGAGTTAACTCTTTCCTGCCTGAATCCAGCACACAGTGTTACACATTTAAATATTCTCTTGAATACTATTATTCAACTGTATGCTAGTATATGGGTAACCCAGAGCGGTTTCAGCACACTCAGAATCACAGACTGTCTTGTTGGCCATTCACTTATCAAGTATGTAACTGCTTTTGTCAAGACACACTTTGGAAATTAAACAGATACTCAGCAGAAAAGCTTTAACTATTGCCTTAGCAATTTTAACAAGTTAAAATGATGTTGTTAAGTCAATTTTCATTGACTTTATCCTTTTTTACCTTGCAATTGTTTGCAATTTTTTTTAGCCTTGAGAAGGCTAAAGATTTTCATTTTTCTTTTTATTTTCTATCTGATGAAACTGCTCTTTCATATTGAGCTGAAAGAATCAGCACTGGGTTTAGCTTAAAACACCCTGTATACTGAGGCTGTGCTTACTGTGCCAGAACTACTGCCCACTCAGTAACAACAGCCTTACTGTGGGAACAGTCGCCTTCAGTCTGAACTGTGGTCAGAGTTAGCTTGGCCCAACCTGAAGGAGGGGAAAGAGCAGCAAAAAAGGCCATGGGCACCTCTGCACCACCCAGAGTCCAGAAGCAAGGAACAGTCCAAGAATAGTTTGAGAACCGTTGTCTAGAGACCTACACAAGCGCATGCTGTGCGGTGATGGCTCTCCTTCTACACGAGCTCTCAACACTTCTCTCTTCTGTCTGCCCTGGTCACACTCTTGTGAATCTCTGCATCAGACACTTTGCACAGGCAGCCATTCCCACCGGCCAGCTGCCCAGACAGTGGTATCCCTGTAGAGGCTCGCTCGTGGGCTGTGCTGAAAACAGGACCTGGTCCAATACAGTGTCTGTGGGTGGCATCCTCCAGACTTCAGTTGTAAAAACACAAAGGGCTCCACAAGAAATTCAGCTGAATCAGGCTCGTTTCCACCTATGAACACCGTCACTTGAGCCACACTGGTGGTAATATGGACGCAAATTCATACCGCTGCCTCTGCTGGCACAGGATGCCTCAAGAGGCTCCCAAGAGCCCACCCGCGGAGAACTCACCAAGCTGAGGAACATGGCTTCGTAGGAAGCCTTACAAATAAAACAAGCCAGCAGTAGCACGGACACAGAACACACGTGCTTCAAACAAATCAACACAGTTCCTGTGGCGTACAGAAGACTGCCATGTGTGTTGATTTTGCCAAGCTGGCTAAATTCAAGTTATATAGCTTCTCTGGTTTAAGGGTATTGTGCACGCTGACACACACCCACTCGCACAGGTACTGAGTACACTGCCGCTACAGAAACCAAGGTGGCCACCATGGGATTCTGTGCATACCACTGTCAATATAAAACATCTTGACAAAACTGCAAATACAAGAACAAAGACAACAAAAAAAGGAAAAGACAAAGCTGTATTAATCACCGTCAAGTTAACTAGCTGAAGTGGGTTAGATGTCGAAGATCCTTCATAACTTCCTGTTAAAATCAGTGTCAATTCAGCCTGGATTTGGAATTGAAAATGGTGCCCCTACCAACATCAGTAATACTGATACGCGAAGAGCAGCTTCCAAACAGTCTTACTGCCACGTAAAATACACAAGTCACAGAAGTATGTTTTCCCTCCATTTTATTTTCAAAACATTTACAGACTATTCCCTAAGCATTAAAAGCCAGGAACTCAGTGCCTGAAATGCGTTACCTTTTCACAGCTATAGTCATCCCGCAAGATTAAAGAAATTCTCTAGCAAAAAAGTAAGAGAACTTCTGCAGGCTTACAGGCAAGAAACACATTTTTTGCTTCCTAATTTCATTCTATGCTAAACACCACAGAACCCAGAATTTGAAGAGTGATAACATATAGACAGTAGCAACAATTCAGTAATCACCAGATTTCTGCACAGTCTCTTCATCTTGCCCAGGATTACTGAGTTTCAGTCTTTGTGTTATGATCTTTCTTACAGAAGAGCAGCTGTAACATTATCTTCTATTTCCCTCATGTAATTCTCATAGCTTACTTATGTCATCTACTAGAATTGTGTCATACACGTATGCATACGATCAATTTAGTTTTTAGCTTGCAAGCACTGCAAACAGTCCTTAACATTAGAGTAAATGATGAAATATTGCTTTCTTATTCTCTCTCATATCATTTACTTCTCAGTAAATGGGACTGAGGAAGAAAGAGAACACAGAAACAGCAACGTTCCTTCTTCATAACCACAACCATTCAGAGGCCCAGTACGCAATTTAGTGTGATACTCGTCTAACCCAAAAGACCTTACCTTTGTCCTCTGCCAGCGTAATGGTTCTCTTTGGTAAGACCACATCAACACTAACACAGGAATGTTTACAGATTTAGCATAAGGGATTCTTTTCAAAGAAAGATCCTGCAAACACTTCTTACTGGAAGAAATGAGTGCTAATAGAAATGGATCCATAGATAGAGTGGAAATAGTATCTGAGAAGAGACAAAGAAGAGTTGTGAAAATATTCAGCTCTCCGTATTTTACTGGGCGCAGGAGTTAACCCAGAACCAACCGGGCCAGGTTATTTCCTCACGCCGCACCACAAACATTTAATTTTCTTAGAGAACTGTTTGAGAAGACGCTATCGTGATACCTTATTAAAAGAAGTTAATTTGCCCAAAGTTCCTTGGATACTTGAGGTAACTCTTATGGGTGTTATTTATAGGCAAGCCAGAAAGCCAAAAAAACGTAAGAAGGTGAAGGTGAAAGAGTGCTAAGGTAAACTAATTTACATTGGTTTAACTTCTGTTAAAGTCACTGCAGAAAACCAGTGGCTTAAATTCCGATGAATTTGATACTGAACACTGATGAAATATCACTTTATGTAAAGTATTACATCCAGTGACATAGATTTACATACATTACATAAAAATACGTGAAGTTTGTACACGCACACACTTTATATGCGCACCAAAACTTGAAATTTCAGCACAAACTAGCACGCTTGTGCTACGTGCAGGAGACACACACCACGGCTGTAGTGACACGGCGGCAGGATGGACAGCAGCGAGGACTACGTATTTCTAGTCCATAAAGGGAACTGTTCTTTCCACAGTGGTGAAAGCAGAAAGGATAAATAGACTTTTAAGTAACCAGCAAAGCCCAAGTCTACCATTTCACGACTACAGGTTCATTTGGAAGGCAGGCACACGCTCAAAAGAACATCGTTTGTTTCCTGAAAAGATACTCCAGATCCATGCGACGGTTTGGGAACAACCCAAGCCACGAGAAGGCCGCAGACAACTGTCTGTATTCCCGTCGAACTGAATTTGTGGCGAGGGACGGCTCGGAGGCCTCTCGAACACAGTGCAAGTGCTGAGCAGGTGCAGGTAGCCATGCCCTGAGCCAGGGCGTTCAACTGCGCCTCTCTACTGAGGCTCACCTCTAAAGGCAGCCCATGGCTCTTGGTGAACTGGAAGAAATCAGGGGCCTTTTGAACACAAACTTTAGGATCTGGTATTACTCCACTACAACCTAGAACAAAACGATTCCTACCATTAGGTGGCCGACTATGACGGCTCTCTGCTGTCCCTTTCTCCTGAATTTCTGTTTCTCAGCCACACGTCTCCCAGATCCCTCCCTGGGGTGCTGCCGGGAGGGCTCCGACAGCCAAGGCATGGGGCCGGCTGTGGTGCCCACCCTTACAGCCCCCGTCAGTGCTCGCACCGGGCCCCGCTGCCTCCCAAAACGTACCCACGCCAGGGAACGAGGCGTTCCGCTGGAGCACGACGTGCCTCCGCACCACGGGGTTATCGTGAACGGCACAAAGTTGTTCACGCTCCTCGTTACCGTTAGCTACCA